AAAGAGGCACCACCTGCCAAGTGTGTATAATCAGCAGCAATAATTGCAGCTGCTGACCTTGGAAGAGCAGCCACCTTACCTTTTTTAATCAAATCTCTTGCTCTACTGAGAGCAGTTTTTCTGAATGGTAGGGCAGGGCAAAGACCATCTTTGAGCTGTGCATATACAGAAGCTGAGAGGGACTTCTGTCCTTTGCCTGTTTGTAGTTCCCCTGTTTTTGGGCAACAGCATTGCATTAGTAACACCTTGACTCCTACTTCTCAGCTAGTGAGCATGTTTGTGCAGGACTTAAAACACATTTGACTTCAGTTAGCCTTGTTTCCTTGCTGAAGCTCAGGCTCTCATCTTGTTGGTTCTGTCCCGTGGATGGACTCTCTCAGCTCAGCAGGAGAGGGGGCACTGAGGTGGTTGCAGTGTGTTTTCCATCAATGGTTAGGATTTCTGTAATGATGCTGCTTGCAGAGAGGCTGCATAAACAGCACAGGTGGTTTGTGTTTACTTAAGTCAGTTATAATCAGAGTCTCTTAATAACTAACCTATGTAAATTGTTTGGATTTGATGCTAAAACAAATGCAGAGGTTGTTTTGTCTCCATCACTCCTTGCTGATGATGGTAACTACAGATTGTATAGTTTAATTGGCTGCAGTGCTCAAGGTGTAGCCTGCTGCAGTGAAGTTTATGGGCTAACAGCCTGTGATTAAAAACAACCAAGTGTCATTATTTGCTTACAATCCATGGGAAATACCATAATAATTTGAAAAGTACATTTGTAACTAATTATTGTACACTCAAAATAGTTGTAACATCTATGAAACAAGATTGAAAAAGGTCAGATCAGTGAGTGTATACTTCTTACTAAGCTTTAAAGTGTACCTGACTCTCTTTGAATAATTTTTTTCTAGAAAAGTGGTTGTTTTCTGTGTAATCTGTTTTATTGCTAGTTTTGCATGCAGGGTGGGAGGTTGCTCTGCTCCTTGCATGTGGACTTGACAGCACTGGTTATAAACTTAACAAATGTAAACAGTTGGCTTGACATTTTTGATGTTTGTTTCTCTTGGCAAAATATGTATTTTGTTTTCATCTCAACCTAAGTGTTGCAGTTTCAGTTTTCAGAAACAAGATATAAACAAAAATTAACTGTTAAAACCCCAAAGGCCTTTTAGAATACTTCAGCTTGCCTGAGCCCCAGAATGGGGGCTTAACATCTATCAGGCCCAACTATTGAAAAGCTGTTCCATTTCAGACAAACTGCGAGCCTTCAAAATGTTGATTTTGACAGATGTTCCAAAATATTTAAGTAGCTGATATATTTAGTGATAGGTTCCAGCTCAGGCTTTATCACAAGTTTCCACATAGCTGCTGTGGGCTCTCGTATCTTGAGACAGCGTCTCTTGAGTTCCCCATGTTCCTGTGTTGTTTGACCAGAGTAGTTTGATCCAGACTCAGGAGTGGGTGAGGGAATATGCTAAGGATGGAGGAGGAGCCACGCAGAGGGAAGGTTGGGGCTGGGTGGTGGGAAGGGATGAGCCTCCCTGATGTGATCAGATCAGGAGACTGTATCCCCATGAAGGCCTGGGATGTGACCCAGGGTCTGGGTACAGCTGAAAGCATTAATTTTCTGTGCTGCTTGTTGATGTGCCTTTTCTTCCTCCTAGCATTGCTCCAGTCAGGATAAATCCTGTTGTGTTTTGCCAGGCATTGAGAGGCAGATCTTCCACAGTACCTATGCATAAAGAGAGGCTGGCAGAAGCATATCCAGTACTGCAGATATGTATGGCTCAGTGGTTCTCCCTGAGAATGAAGGGTCAGGAGCCCTGAAAATGAGATTCCCCGTAGCTGTAAGGGTGAGCTCTCTTACCTCACTATTAATTCTATGCTACACATCTTTGTGCTGGATCTTCAGACTTTGTATGTAAACAGCCTGGTTGGAAACCCATGAGATTCAGCATACGATGCTACATAATGAGTCTTGATTGTTTCTGTTTGCCTTGGCTTCCCCCCTCATTATTTTGCTGATTAAGGATCCCTGGGTGATCTTAGTTCTCCTCTGTGATCTGCAGGTCCTGTTTGTGGCAATGGTATATGGACCTCTGCTGACCCACCAGAACAGCTCTTCCATCCATCAGGCTTCAGCTGGTGTGGCCAGTCATTGCTAGCAATCCCTTTTCCCAGGTCTGATCAGGGCTGTGTGAAAGGAGGAGGCAGCAGTCTAGGAGAACACTAACCTCTTACAGGACTTGACATCTGACTGCTCTCGAGTGCTGTGTTAGTGAGAGGTGTCTGTGCAGGAAAAGGTGTAATGTACTGAAAGGATGGCCTGAAGACCCTGGTGAGACACAGTGCCTGTCAGACAAGTTTGCCTGCTGCCTTTGTACTGTCAAGATAGCCCTGTAGGAGACAGCTGGACTCGGCTGCACAAATTGGTCCAGGATCAAGAGTCTGCTTCTAGCAGCCTCTTTTCCAGTGGAAACCTGAATGTGCAGGGCATCAGTCACCCATGTGTCTTTGTCCTGTAACTCATCCATGGAAAGCCTGGTGCTCCTGCAGCTCCTGAGCCTCAAGACTGTGCACATCTGCTGCAGGGCTTGTCCTGTGGTAGGGACAGGCCATGGCATGTAGCTCTTTGGTCCTGAAGATTCAAGATTGAGATTTACATAGTGTGTTCCACTAGTTTTATTTGCTGCTTAATTCAGTTGTATATCCAGACTGGGGAAAAAGCTGATAACAAAAAAAAGGGAAGTCAAACAGCAGACAATATAAATGTTGAAGTGTAATGTTCTGGCTAGTAATGATATCCACATCAAGTGGCCAACATCTTGGCAGAAATGTCTTTTGCACTCTTTGTTTCTCTGGTTTCTTTCATTAATCTTCCTGTCATGAGCTGTGGTCTGTGAGCTTTTAACTTAAAATCTGAGTGTTGTAGTTTCATCTTTCTGAGCAGTTCAGCTTATTTTAAGTTTGAGATTTGGGTTTGTGTTCATTTGAAGATTGTTCTATCTTTGAAGAGCTGTATTTTACTATTCAATAGCTGTTAGTACCTTGGAGCTCTGTAAATCTTTTACTATGAGGGGAAAAAAAAAGAAAATGACTGCTCAAGATAGTGTGTTGATAGAAATTGGCATTCCTCTACAGAACTGTAAATTAAAGTCATAGTTCCTTAAATGAGATGAAGTATTGTCCGTAAAATACTGCTGCTGTCTCTTTCAAAATCTGTGTGGAATAACTTAATTTAAAAAAGAAATTCTATTGCAGTTCATCCTCCTACAATTCTGCAGGTTTAGGTGCACAGAGACCTGCTGGTTTAAGGTGAATACTTGAAAAATGTTTAGATTGCAAAGGGAAGCTATTGAGAAGGAAAGTACATCTACAGAGGGATTTACTGCAGCAGGGCTTAGTAATGACTAATGTGTAGGCAATTCTGGCTGCAGAGGTGGAGCTGATGGCTCCAAGTTATGGGATTTGGCTGCCTAGGAATGACATTATGTTGCTACTGGTTTGATGGTGGCAGGAAGTGAGCTCAAGTGACCAAAGAAAATCCAGGTGCTTAAGGACTGTCTTGTATTTTATGTGGAACAACTGTTGGATAAAATACGAAAACTTTCCTGAAGTTGGTGCCAGGTCCAGAATGTGGCACTTTCTAGGAAAAAAACCCTTAGCCTTGTGCTTGCTGTGGCTTCCTGGCTTTGGCAGTCCTGAGGGTGAGCTTGGGCAGCACAGGAGGAAGGTGTCTCTGACAGGCAAACCTGCATCTTGGGCATACCATTCAAATCCTGTCAAACGCTGGGTTGTCTCTGCATTTATTGCTTTTTGATAGTGGCCACCTGAGAGGCTCCATGGGAAACCTGGTCACAGTCACTGACTTTGCAGTCCTGTGCCTGCTGGGGGGTTTAGGGAATTGTAGGACTGCAGCAC